CACTCACTCACTCACTCACTCACTCACTCACTCACTCACTCACTCACTCACTCACTCACTCACTCACTCACTCACTCACTCACTCACTCACTCACTCACTCACTCACTCACTCACTCACTCACTCACTCACTCACTCACTCACTCACTCACTCACTCACTCACTCACTCACTCACTCACTCACTCACACTCACGCACTCACGCACACACACACACACACACACACACACTTCTGTACATACATGCGATGATGTTTCCATAACGGTTCTTCATTCTGTTCTCGTCTTTTTTGGCCGAGTCCCACGGCGCCGCCTGTCCTTCGAAGAAGCTCTAAAAGACAACGACAAAAACACGGTTAGCAGAACAAACATGAGTGACAAACAGCAGGTCAAAGGTCAGGGCAACACATGAGAATGTAGTCGGACATAAACAGCCAGAGAAAAGAGGAAAATGAACTTTATGATCATAAAACAGAACGTGCAGCATCTCCATTAACACAGAAAATCATTTCAAATTACTCTATAGAGTTTGACATGAGCATGTTTACTCTAACAAGCATACAATACACAGCACAAGCAAACATATTACTATTGTTCAATTATTATTATACATTTAACTGAATATTTAAATTATTTATTATATTAAAATCAATTAACATTAATTTTATATTATAAAAATTATGTTACAAATTACTGTTAATATTAAACATTTAATTGAATACTCCATTTAATATTAAAAGTAATAAAAATATTAATAGTACATTTTTAAAGTGGTAAATTATTATTAAACATTTCATTAAATACATATTTGAAATTAAAATCAAACAAAAATACTGATATTATATTATTAAAATTGTTAAATTATTAATAGACATTTAATTTAATTTTTATTTAAATTATATAATATTAAAATCCAACAAAAACATTCATAGTTTATTATTAAAATGGTTAAATTATCATTAAACATTTAAGTGAACATTTATTTAAATCATTTAAAATTTAAACTAAACAAAAAATATTAATAGTGCATTAATAAAATTCTTAAACTATTTTGAACATTTAATCGAAAATGTATTTAAATTACTTAACATTAATATCAAACAAAAATATTAATAGTATATTATTAAAACTATTAAATTATCATGAAACATTGAATTGAATGTTTAAATTATTTAATCTATTATTTACATCAAATAAAAAATAATTCGCATATTATTAACATTTAATTTTATATTTTAATGTTAAAATCAAACAAAAATGTTAATAGCCTATTAATAAAATAAAATTAAAAATGAATATTTAATATTAAAATTATCTAAATATTTAACATTAAATTTTATTGTAACATTATTGCAATTTTCTACAATCTATAATATTTACACATACTTCTAACACATAATAAATTAAAACACACAGCCCATTTTTAACATTCTCAACATTTCTCTTGCCTCATCTGCCATGCTGCATATTGTTTTTACTTGTTGCAATGCATTCTGGGATTATCTTATGCACAAAGAATTCATGCAATGTTAAGCTAAAATAAAAAGAAATCATCTTATAAAGTGGCATAATCACACCTACAGTATAATGCCTTAAAGTGCTGCCTAAATAGGTTCACACTCACAACATAGCAAGCAATGTTTATTGCATTGCATCCACTTCTAGCATTTTTAATCTGAGGGCTTAGTTAATATTATTTTCTGAGGCAAGCGCTGACCGCAGGAGCTCGATCACGGCGTGAGATCTACATCGAACCACATGAAAGCACAAGAGAGACAGACAGAAAGAGAAACGCAGCCGACGTTTGTTCCTCCTCAACAGAAACTCATCAAACATTAATGCTCCGCTCGCTGCGCAATTACAGCTAATTATGAAAATGCACTTCAGCGCTGGCTTCTGAGGGCCGTGGGGCTGGTCTCTGCCGTTTCTCTGTGTAAGTGTGGAGGTGAGACAGAAATAGAGCTTGATATTCCTCGTCTAGAGACAAGAGATATGATTGCGGTGATTGTGCTAAACACAATGATGACACCAGCTTCATCTGCGGGAGGCACGGCTGATCATCGGCTCTTTCTGCTTAATGACGGCTTGATATTCACTGACGTAAAGACCACCGGAACGCAGCTTTCTGACGAGCTTCTCGGAGTGAAGCGCTTCTGTTAGGAGGCTCTGTGATTGAGGTTAGGAGGAAAGTGTTGTGGTTTCTCGAGGCATGAATCACAGCAGAAGGAGAGACGAGTCAGATTTAACCTGCAACGCTCTTTCATTTCCAGCACGGTAACCTTTAGAAGACTTAAAGAAACAGAAAAACTACTTTGAGAGAAAAGTCTTTCATTCTGAAACGCAACACGTCTGTGTGCAGTAAATAAATAGAAACACATCTTATCTTCAAATGCACTAGTGTTAAAATGTTTCTGAAAGAGTCTCTTCTGCCCAGCAAGGCTGAAATATTAAAATAGTGAAATATTATTCTAATCTAAAACAGCTGTTTTCTATGTGAATCTCAGTTAAACTGTAATGTATTTCTGTGATGCGCAGCTGTATTTTCAGCATCATTCCTCCAGTCTTCAGTGTCACATGATCTTCAGAAATCAGTATAATATGCTGCTCTGCTGCTCCAGAAACATTTCTGATTATTATCAATGCTGAAAACAGTCGTGCTGCACAATATTTTGTGGAAACTGTGATACATTTTATTTTTCAGGATTCACAGATGAACAGAAATGTGAAATTTGTAACATTATAAATGTCTTTACTGACACTTTTGATCAATTTAATGCGTCATTAATGAATAAAAGTATTGATTTCTTTGATTAAATGTATGTGTGAATACATATATACTGTATATATATATATATATATATATATATATACACAAAATAAAATGTATAAATAGAAATATTAAAAACAACAAAATTACTAAAACTTTAACTAATATTATAATGAAAATAGAAAACATAAAAATCTAATCAAAACATTTTTAAAGATTCAATTAAATACTTATTAAAAATAATGAAACAAATACAAAAAATAAAACAAAAATACTGATATCATATTGATATTGTTATAATTGTTACATTATTATTGTAAAAAAAAATGTAAAATTATCAAATTATTAACAATTATCAAAGTTGAAAACAGTGCTGCCGGATATTTGTGTGAAAATCGTGATACATTTTATTTTTCAGGATTCACAGATGAATAGAAATTTGAAAAATAAATATTTTGTAACAGTATATATATATATATATACACACACACAGCATCTCACAGAAGTGAGTACACCTCTCATTTTTGTAAATATTTAATTATATCTTTTCATGTGACAACACTGAAGAAATGACACTTTGCTACAATGTAAAGTAGTGAGTGTACAGCTTGTATAACAGTGTAGATTTGCTGTCCCCTCAAAATAACTCCACACACAGCCATTAATGTCTAAACTGCTGGCCACAAAAGTGAGTACACCCCTAAGTGAAAATGTCCAAATTGGGCCCAA